GTCCCGGTTCCCGCGGTGACGTGGGTTATCGTGATGCCAAAGTATCAAAGGAGGTTTCTCTCCTCCCCCCCCATAACATTCTGCAAGTGTGGCAATTACTAGCAAACGACCTAATTTCCATTTCGGCGGGGTTCTGCGGGGTTGCTGGGCTGTTCCTGAGGGCGGGGGAGGGGTGCCGGGAAGGGGGGAGGGGCGCACGGGGAAGTCAGGGCAGTTAGGGCGTCTCCGTGTCTCCGCAGGCCCTGCTGCTGGTCTCTCCAGCTGACACTCCGCGGGAACCGGTTTGGGGCCGAGGACACGGGCTCGGCCGGGCGTCCGCCCACAGCGGCTCCCCATTCGGAAGCAGGAAGGAGAGAGCCCGCGGGGGCCGGAGGGTGTGTGAGAAGCACGTTCTGTGGATTTCTTCACCCAATGGGCGGGGGCAGCTCGTGAGAAGGGACAGGCACAGGGTCCCTCCTGCGAGGTCTCTGAGCTCTTAAACCCGTGGCGTGGCTAAAAACCAGCCAACCGAGCCACCACACACACCCGCCCTCAGCACCGCGGCAGCAGAGCCGGGGCGTCGGGCATCTGTCTGTCCGGGGTCCCTTCGGGGAGCGCAGGCGGGCCGTGGCCCGGGTGCGCCCTGCGTCCTGCGCGTGCACGGTTTCCGCACAGCCCCTTCGTGGGCCCCGACGGGACGCTTTCCACCAATCGTCTTGTTCATGGGCACGAAGGGCAGACTCAGAGGTAGACGGGTTTGTCCCCATTTTGCAGCCGAGAGACCTGAGGCCCCAGATGAAGTTTCCACCAGACGCTCCGCCCTGCGTGCCCCCGGAACAGCTGACGCCCAGAATGACAGTGTGGCGCCACCAGGACCACCAGGACCAAAGCCACCCGGTTCCTCTCGGCCCCGGCTGCCCGCGGCTGGGCACGCAGCCCCCGAAGGGAAGGCCGAGTGGGGGGGGTGGCATCGGCGCCCTCTGCAGAGGCCGTCCCCTGCCCCCTCACTCCCTCGCTCCTCTGGGACCAGCCCTGGGTGAGTCTGCCCTGGGGAGCAGGCAGGGCCCCCTCGGCCCTGGCCGCAGGGCCCTGATGGAAAGAAGCACAGGGAGGTCCCTGCCTCCTGGTCGTCAAGTCCGCTGCCCAGGACTCGGGGCGCCCGAGCCACAGACCCCAAGGAGCTCCCTGTTCGGGGTTCCCACCTGTGTCCTTCCGGCGGTGCCGGGCACAGACACAAACACCTGGGCGGGGCAGGCGGGTGAGCGGGGATGCCGACGCACCTGGGTGCCAGCCACCTGCCAGCGGCTGCAGAGCTCCAGGCTCTCCGGGCCCAGCGAGGGGTCACTGCGCTGGTCCCCACCCACCTGTGGGTGCAGGCCGTCGCCGAGGCCCTGCCGAGTAGCTCACCAGATGGCACCTGTCCGGGCTGCGGAGGCTGGGCGGTGGGGGGAGGGGTGTTTGCAGCACCCTGCGGGGGCGGGGCGGGGATCTTCAGAGGGGCTTCCCGGCCCAGGCCCCTCCTAGATAGAGACCCCCACTCTGTCTCTTGTCCGGGAATCACGTCGGGAGACCTCGGAGCCTAGGAGGCTCCGTGAGAAGAACCAGACCCCAGGGCGGGAAGCCACGCCCCGCGTGCGGTCCCGAGAGAAGGCCCGACTTTCCCGCCGGCCAGCCCTCGGCGGGGCCAGCGTGGTCCCGCCCCGGCCGCCGGGGAAACCGCGTCCCCTCTCGTGGCGCACGCACGGGGCCGGGCGGGCGGGCGAGGGCACGAGGAAAGGCCCTGCCCACTGCAGCCCTGAAACCCCGCCCCCTCTTCCTCCTCGGACTCGGGGCCCGGAGCCTCCAAGTGCCCCGGGCGGGCGCTGCTGCCGCTGCCACCCGCGTCCCCCAGGGAGATGGAGCCGACGCCCCCCCGCCCCTCCCGGCCGGGCCGTTTCCAGGGCCAGAGCGCCGCCCGCTGGAGGCCTGGGGGCTGGCGGCGAAGCGCCGCGTCACCTCGGGTTGTGGCGCTTCGGGGACGTGCGTCTCCGTGGCCCCCGCCGTCGGGCTTTGCCTCCCCCCGCCCGACCTCGGTCTGAAGCTCGGAGTGTGGCGCCCCGGCCTCGACCTGGAGGCACCGGGGTCCACGTTCCCCGCGGCTCCGAACACGCAGCGGACAGGCTTGGAGTCACGCCGCCCACCCGCCCACCGGGAAGGGACCCGCCCACCGCGGTGAACCTTCCAGAAGGCCGAAGCAGGAAAACCTGCCGCTCAGACCGGGCGGGGGCGGGGCTGCCCCCCGCGGCCCACTGTGACTTACTGGGCCTGCGGCCTGCGCCTGGGTCTGGACCGCCTCCGCTCCGAGCGGGCGTCTCGCCTCTAACGGAGGAAGTGGAGGGCGCACGCAGGGAGAGGGACACCCCCCCCCCCCGCCCCGAGAAGCTGAGCGCCGCCCCCTCGCCAGCTGGGGAGGGCCGCTGCCCCCCATCTCTGGTCCCCGCGCTCAAGCTCCAGCCCCCACCCTCCCCTTTGCTCCACAGGTGCCTCCCCGCCCCCCGACCCCCCCACCCCCTGCTCGTCCCTCTGGCCCACGCCCCCCCTCCGGTCCGCAAGCCTTTTCTGTGACGTGCATTCGGTGACCTTCTGGAATGGCAACCTTGACCTTGCTGGTCTCGGAGACCCGGTGCAAACGGCTGCATCTCCTGGAAGATGCTCCCCGTGGCTCCTGTACTCCCGCTTCCCACGCACACCTCCTGGGCCACGGTTCTGGCGTCCCCTGAGAAAGCGCCCGGTCTGGTGGGGGGAGGGAGGCCTGTGGCGGGGAGGACTCCGAGGAAACACGTGCAGAGAGCGGATGCCACGCGGCTAAGCGTGACCGTTTTCCTGGAGAGCGCTGGGCCCTGCGGGTGCGAGCCTGCCCGCCCAGGGGCGTGTCTGTGCCTGGGCGGAGCAGGGCCTGGGCCAGAGGGTGTCGCGGGTCCCAGGACGGGGCCTCAGTTCCTCCTGTGGGGGTCTGTCGGTTGTCCCCCCCCTGTGGCCGTGCGTGGCCGTCTGCTTGGGGCTTGGGTGTGGGCGGCTCAGTGGGCCCGGTCCCCTGCCGCGGGCACCCAGGGCGGCCACCGAGCAGGCCAGCGGGCTCCAGAACAAGTGCTGGGGCCGCCCGCCGGTGAGTCTCGGCGGGAGGGGTCAGTGCTGTTGTCCTCTGACCCGTGAGTCACTGCGGGCAGAGGCCGTGTCAGCTCCCGGGGCCTCTGGGGGCCCTGCAGGGCAGCGCCGGGTGGGGATCGACCTCCCACCACCACGTCTCCCCAAGTAGCTGCACGGGGTTTGGGGGGGGGGTGTGCGTGCGGGCGAGCGCATGTGTTCATTTGTGGTGTGTATGTGTGTTCATGTGTGCACGCGTGTTCATTCATATGCATGTGTGTTCGTGTGCTGTGTGCACACGTGCTCGTGTGTTGTGTGCACTGGGGGCTGGGCCCGTGTTGCAGGCTCCGGGCCCCAGGTGGGTGTGGGGCCCTCAGGTGGTGCTGGCCCTGGGGAGGCTGGGCTCCGTCAAGGCCCCTCCCGGGGGCAGCAGGGCATGGGCACTTGGGTCTCCCGGAGCTCCCGGAGCTCCCGCGGGCCAGGGAGGAGGAGGAGGCACAGGGGTGGGGGCCCAGGCCTCCACAACCCTGCCAGGGACGCCCCTCCCCCGAGTCCCCTCTGGGGGTGGGTGGTGTTGGTGTGGCTTCGGGTCCTGGCACAGCTCCATCCGGCAGACCCCGGTGTGAGGCGTCCCCTGAGACACAGGCTTCTGGTGGCCCAGGTGGCCACCTGGTGACGTGCCATTCCCCGGTGGAAGCCCTCCTCTTGGGGCCACCACAGCCCCCTGGTGGCTGCAGGCACGGTCAGGGGCCAGCGGGTGGGCGTGGGGCTCCCACCCCTTGTGGAGGCGTGTCTGCACCCTCCCGGACCACCCGGAGTGGACCCCAGCCACAGGCTCCTTCTGGTCCCGGGTGGGCGGCGGCCCTGCGGGGTGTCCGGGCCAGGGCTCCGCCCCGGATGTACCTGCGCACACGGGCGCGCCCCCGGCAGCCTCGCGTGGCTGTATGTGGGCACCAAGGCTGGACAGCCGTGTGCGGACACATGCTGGGCAGACAGTGACCCACACGGAGAAGGGGGCGGGGGTGGCACAAATGTCACGTCTGGGCGGTCAGGGGTCCCACCTGGGCTCAGGCAGCAGGGGACACTGGTGGACCTGGCCTTGGCTCACGCTGACCCTGGGGGGCAGAGATGGGACGCGGGAGGGGCCAGTCTGACCTGAGCGACAGGAGAAGGCCAGCAGCTGGGGGCGGGGGGGGGGGGGTGCTGAGGTGGGGGAGGGGCGGGGGAGGGGCTGAGGCCAACCTCACCCGCCTTCCCAAGCCGCGCACGACAGAGATGGAAGCTTCTAGAAAGCTCTCTGGTCACGTGTGGCACAAAGGTCTCACACCCTTTCCTGTCCCTGTTAGAGCGAAGCGACAGTCCCGCCCGGGGCCCGCCCGCCTCTCTCGGGGCCTCCCCGAGCAGCAGCGGAATCAGGAGAGAAGAGACGGCGCCCGGCGCCGCTCGCTCTTTATTGGTCCCGGGGCGGGCGGGGGCGGGGCGCGGGGTGGGGGGGGTACACAGCCACGACGCAGTCACTGAGCTCGTTAAAAATATCTCAATAAATAAAACAAATAAGCAACATACACACTGAAACAGAACATACAAAAACTGGTTAGCCGAGCGCGGCGGGGAGAGAGCGGAGGGGCCGAGGGGCCATGGGGACCCCCCCGACCCGCCGGGGACAGGCATGCGGGGGCGGGGCGGGGCCTGGGGGGGCGGGGGGCGGGGGTCCTTTCCCGAGCGAGAGCCTTGGTCCAGTTTAAGCAGAAGGTACAGGAAAGCATCTGTTTTATTAAAAAAATATACATTAAAAAAGGCATTTAGAGGATATACAAATTCCAAATCCTCGTGAATGTGTTCTTGCATCTAGAGGTTTTCCAGAAAGAAACGCCCCCTCCCCCCCGTAAAACCCAGAAGAAAAATCCAAACAGTGGCGAAGAGGACGATGCGCACGCGCCGCCGGTGAGCACGACCGGGGGCGCCCCCTCCCCCGCGGGGACCGTCTCTGGGGGAGGGGCTGCCGGGCCGGGGCCCCGTCCATCCGCCGCCGCCGCCCCTCGTCCAGGGCGCCCGCTGCAGAGAAGATCCAGGGGCCTCCTTGAGGTCGTTCGGGTGTCGGACGTCACAGACGTGGACGCGTGCCTGTTCCTCGTGCCCCTCAGCCCCGCACAGAGTCTGGAAGACAAGGAGGGGGCACATGAGACCCCGCGGCCCCGCTTGGCGTCCTGGGGCCTCCTCCCCGTCCGCCTCCGCAGAGACCTCTGTCCGGGACCCCGGGCGGCTGCCAGACGCTGCCCTCAACCAGGCGTCCACGCCGGGCACCACCCTCCGCCTCACGCTCGCCTCCTGCACCCCCCAAAGGTGCCGCCTGCGGGCTCTGCAGGGCCCCCGACGCCAACTGTGCGACCCTGTGGGAGCCGGCAGGTGGGGGCGGGAGGCAGGGACGCAGAGCGGCAGTGGCCCAGGCCAGCCAGGGGGCATCCGACCCCGAAGGGTGGCATCCTGGTCTCCAGGACACCTGAGGTCACCGGGGTCCTGCCTGCCTGGCCTGTGGGTCCCTGTTCCCGTGGCTCTGGGGGTGTGAGGCACACACATCCGAGGCTGGGGACACGGAGACGGGTCACGCGTCACCATCAGACCCCACAGGAGGCTAGGCCGCTCGTGGGAGCCCCCAGAGACCCTCGCTGCATGGAGGCCACGCCGGCACTGGGGGGACCCTACGCAAGGAGGACACACCCTGGCCCCAGGGGTGCGTGGGGGCGTGGCTGTGGACTAAGTGCTGAGACCGAGGGGCAGCAGCTGGGTGGGGCCGGGGAGGGAGATGGACTTGGGGGACTGGGGGAGGCGCCCAGGTCCTGGGACCAGGTGGGTGGAGGCACAGGACTGCGGAAGCGGCTTTGAAACAGGGACGTCAACGCCCTTGGCAGGGCCTGTGTCGTGGGAGCGGGTCGGTGCGCGTCTGTGTGTCCGTGTGTCTGCCCGCCTGAGTGCGTCTCAGTGTGAGCGTGTGACCCCGAGGCTGCTCCGTGGGCGGGGTGCCGGCCCTCCCGCGGAACCCCAGCTCCACGCCGACACCCCGCTCCTCAGGAGCCCCTGCGAACTGAGACAAGGATCTGAAGGTGCTCCGGCTCATTGTCCCTGAAACTCAGGCGCACAGACACCGCCCCCCACCCCCCCCATGCGTCTCCTGTGCAGTTCGGCGCGCTCCAGCCAGGCGGCCCTTTCCAGTGTCCCCGGGCAGCGAGTCAAGGCCGCTCTCTGGGAGAATGTGGTTGTAATTAGATAATTAATGGGGGGCTGGAGAGGGCTAAATGGAACCCTTCCTCGGTGGGAGGGGCATGACCACGAGGCTTCTGATATCTGAGCTGCACCCGCCCTTCCCGGCGCGAGGCAGGCTCGTCCGGAGACGCCGGAGACCACAGGGCCGTCTCCCCGAGGCGGTGGGTTCCGGGGTTCGCTCCCCATTCCCGGGGGCCGGGAGGAGACCCGAGGCAGGTCCATTAGTCCTCTGACCCAGAGCCGCGGGGCCCTGCCCCTGTGGTGTCACCCTGACCCCAGCGGTGTCTGCTGACACGGACGGCGTTCCCCGCCACAGATGGGAACCATCTGGGCCCGGCTGCCTCCCCCAGATGAGAGCCACCTGAGACCGCGTGCGTGCGGCTCCGCAGCTGCCTGCAGGCCCAGGTGGGGGCGGCCGGGTGGGGCTGGAGCGTTGCTCTCCCCTCCCCCACCCTAGGCTGTCGGGTCTTACTCGACTCTACGTCTGCAGGACCCAACACAGGGGGTGAAACACCCGTGACAAGTCCCCAGACGGTGGGGCAGGGGTGGGCTTGCAGGGAGCAACGTTAATGTGAGGCTTTCTACCCACCCACCCATTCACCATCTGCCCACCCGGCCGGCAGCCAGCTTTCCACCCATCTCCCAGTCCTTCCCCCTCCCTCCTTCTCTCCCTCCCACCCACCCACCCATCCACCCATCCATCTGTCCACCCACCCATCCACCCATCTCCCAATCCTTCCCCTCTCCCTTCTTCTCTCCCTCCCACCCACCCATCCATCCATCCACCACCCACCATCCACCCACCACCCACCATCCACCCACCCATCCACCCACCCATCCACACACCATCCACCCACCATCCACCATCCACCCACCCACCCATCCATCCATCCACCACCCACCATCCACCCACCCATCCACCCACCCACCCACCCACCCATCCACCGTCCATCCATCCATCCACCATCCATCCATCCACCCACCCACCCATCCATCCACCACCCACCATCCACCCACCCATCCATCCACCCATCCACCCACCCACCCACCCATCCATCCACCCACCCACCATCCATCCACCCACCCATCCACCCACCCACCCACCCATCCATCCACCCACCCACCATCCATCCACCCACCCATCCACCCACCCATCCACCCACCCATCCACCCACTCAGCCCTCGTGTCACAGACAGTCTGTCCACCTGCTCATGGACAGTCCGGGCCGTGCCGAGTCCCTGTGGGAAAAGAGCAGTGTCCCTTGACGACTGAACCCTGACGGACTGGGGACCGCGTGTGGGGGAAGGGCGGAAGAACACATCCAGGTGTGTGAACGGCCTCAGGGGACACGCCTCTCACTTGCCGCGTCCAGACGGAAGGGGGCTGGGCTCTTACTCGGCCGGGATGGCCCCCGAGAGACACCCCCCCACTGCCAAACATGGACCCCGGGGTGCTAGGGGCAATGGGGCCCCAGGCAGAGCCTCGCAGCTCAAGGTAAAGCAGGGCACTCCCGGGAACCCGAGACCCCGTGGGCAAAGCCACTGCGGGTGCGTGCTGGCGGAGAGCCGGGCCCGGCGCTGCGTCCTCGGGCTGGGACTCGAGGTCACCGAGCGTCAGCACGGCCTTCAGTGGGTCGCCCGCTCTGGAAACAGCCGGCCTCGTCCTGGGCCGGGGGTCCGCCCTCGGCAAGGCCCCCCGCTCTCCTGAGATGAGCAGAGAGAGCCGGGGGGCGGGGTGGCGTCCTGGCCCGCGTCACCCCCTCCCTGCCGGGACACTGAGGCCGAGAGGAGCCAGAGGCGCACAGCTGCTCAGCGACAAGGCCGGGCCGTCCCTGCGTCGGTCAGAGTCTGTCAAGTACGACTCGGTTTTCAAAGGGACAGTTAAGGGCCGACGGGGGCGGGGGGGGCGGGGCTGAGGAGGGAAGGACACCGGGCAGACTGCTCTCTCCGCGGTGAGAGAGCACCGTCGGTCCGGGAGCGACGGGGCTTGTGGGTCTTCTGCGCGCACAGGGGCCTGCACAGCGGAGCCTGGGTCGCTCTGTGCCAGGCCCTTCCTTCCCCAGGGTGCCCCCCCCCTCCGCTGGGGGTCCGGAACGAAACGGCAGCGATTAGCGGCAGCGCACTCTGGTCCCTCTTTGGGGGCCCCTGTGCCCCTTTTCAGAGTCAGCCAGAAGCCACGGCCACGTGGGTGTCAGGCCAGTGAGGACCACGGAGGCCGAGGCGCTGCCCACAGACGGCGCTGCCCATGGTGCCCTGCAACACGGCTCAGAGTTAAGGCCCAGGAGCCTCCCCCGTGGGCCGGGCGGGCCCCGCCCGTGGCCCTTGGAGGGTCCAGATCTCCCGGGAATGGCGGGGCGGGGGCAGGATTCCCTGATGGCACCCACAAAGCCCCTAGAACACCCAGCGGGTTCTGACCCTGCAGAGAAGGGCTCCAGGCGCCACACAGCTCCGAGAGGGCCCTGTGGGGGTCCCCAGGACGAGCTTCCTTCAGGAAGGCCGCCCCCACGCCCGCCCAGGCCGTGCCCTCTGGAGGGGCCGTGCCCGTGTGCGCCCGGTGCTGCCGACGCTCCCGCGCCCTCTGGACGCCCTCTGCTTCCAGGACTGCCCCGTGCTTGCGGCTGTCACCTGCGCGGGGCCCCTGCACTCAGGGTCTGCAGGCCTGGGGGCAGGGGGCAGGGTGACAGCAGGCAGGGACAGGCCGCCCCTCTCCCAGGAAGGAGCGCCATGACTCCGGCCGGGCCCCCGGCTCCCGCCGTGCGTGAGAAAGAGGAACCCTGTTTGGAACGACCAACCAAGTAAGGAAGCCAAAGCCAGGGCCGCGCCCCTGGGGCGCCCGCTGGCTCGCACAGACTCCGGGCCCGCCCGCCAGGGAGGCAGAACCCCCACCCTCCCGGAAACTGCGCTGCTCTCGCCCCTCCCCAGGGCTGGGCTCCGGTGGTTCGGCTGGACGGACGGGGTCTGGAGCGGCCTGTCCGCCGAGCGGTCAGCCTGAGAACGGCCTGGGGAGCGGGCGGGCGGGCCTCTGCGTGGCCAGCACGTCTCTCGTCCTGGGTGCCTCCCAGCATCCCTGCCCTGGGCAGACCCGCCCTGCGGACCCTGCCCGCAGCAGCCAGGCCGGCCGCTGGGTCCCGGGGGAGCTGCGGCAGGAAGCCCTGGTCCCCGCAGGCGCGGGCCTCCACGCCCGGAGCTACTTCTGCCCAAGGGCGATGCTCTCTCCAGGCGTCTCTGCAGCCAGCTCCCAAACTCAGCCCCTCGTGGGCAGGGGCCCTCAGCGGGTGCAGCAGGAAGGGCCTCCGACGGTGTCCAGTCAGGGACGGGGTCAGCGAGGACTTCCCCCGGGGTCACCGGGCCGGTGCGGCCAGCCCAGAACACAGGTCAGCGGGCCCTGGGCTGGAAAGGCCTCCTCCCCTCGACACCCGTCCCCTGTGTCCGCGGCCGGCGGCCCTGATGTCTTCACACCGCTGACCAGGGAGAATCTGGAGACGGACGCCCCGGGGGCAGCGGCGCCGGCTCAGGAGAACGGGACTCCGGGGGCGGCCGACCCTCGGGTGGCGCTGGGTGCCGGCGGGCCACACAGAGCCGGCTTGGCCCTGTCCTCAGCCGGGTCACAGTCACGGGCGGTGGGGGGGGCAGACGACAAACTCTCATAACGAAAACGGAATGTGTCCTGACGACAGGGTAAGAAAAGCACACAACGGCCACGGCCACTTCACTCTACAATGTGACCGTACACCATCAGTGTAAGTGGTTACTGCAAAACGCAACGTGTTGTCATCGAGGTACGAACAGATGCATTCTAGAAGCACAGAGGGGACCACGGTTAAGTCCCCAGGGGGTCGGGGGAGCTCTTCACGGCTTCAAGGGCAGACTCAGGGTCGTCGGGGACGTCTGGCCCC